TTGCTACTTGAGTTAATGAGTAGGTTTATATAAAGTGGCTATGGCAGGCCATTTTAACATTTATTTAAAGTACTCTCTTCTTTTCCAGATATCAGGAATACATATTCAATCAAACTAATACAGATCAATCGGCTTGCCATAAGCTGCTGTGACCACAACATAACGGGTTTATTTCTTGAATGGAAGCCAATCAGTGTATCTATTTAGGTGAAATCATCTGGCAGTAGGGAATGATGATGAAGAAAAAAAAGATTTTCTAATAGATAAAACCTCATTGTATCATAGGCTTCTTCCGTTTGATTCTGTGTTTTTTTTTGCAGCCGCTTCGCATGTTATCACCTCCATAAATGGCTGTTATAAGCGGTTATCGGTCCCATAGAATAGGCTTCAGATTCTGCTAGTAGGCTTAGTAGCTTATCACTGAATGAATCCTAATCCTAACCCTAAGGTAATTTATTTCCCCCCCCACAGAATTAATCAATCTATTTATGTGTAATCTGAAAATAATTTCGGGAGTTCTTCATGTTCTGTAAAAATAAAAATTTTTAAATAAAATGATCCGCATCTCGCTCATATAAACAAAGCAAAAATGAATAAATCTCATATCCTTTCAACATAGTTGTAGAATCCTCTGCTTATAAATATTTCATTCTCTGTGGAAAAAAAATGCAGATTTTTCTTTAAAAACATCCTCATCAAACAGACATGCAATGTTTTTAAAGGCTAATGTGTGTAACTGAGCTAGTGAGTGATTTCTTTTTTTTTTAAGCAAAAAACTATGACAAAAATCTGACTAAATCGGTGACTAAAAACAACTTGATTGGCTGTAAGGACTCTGATAACACTCCGAGTTTACTGAACAAAACCTGCTCCCAACCAGGTTAGCTTTGGGGGAAAATGTTACTATGGTGACTGAAAGAGAGGTTGACTAAACTGTCTTGGTGAAATGGAAAGAGTTTCCCTGATTTCAGGATTAGAAAACTTGGTTTTCAGTATAAACCTGCTTCGTGAAACAGACCCCATAGACAATGATTTCAGTCATTTACTTTCCTCTAGGAAGAAGAAAGCACAGAAATGGCGATGGAAAGTTTTCCTGCTCAAGTTAGTTAAACATACTTTTTTCTCTCTGTATATTTGGATGTGATAATGCATGGAAATACATTGGGTAAAATTGGTATAAAACACATATTTAATTCTAAAAATGCAACTGAAATTGAATTTTCACTTGATGTAAGTGAAGGGAGTCCACATTTGCAAAAGAATAAATAATTTCATGATTGCTTTCTAATTATAGAAGGATTTCCTTACTTTTTTCCACATCCATTTAATCAATCTCACAAACATTATTTGCTCTGTCATTCTTGTTGTGTTATGTGGTTTAAATTTCCTAATGTGGGCTGGATGGGCTTTTCATGATATCAGGTGAGAATTTCATGCCAAATATATTTACCTAAAAGGCTTTGTACGGTTAAATGCTTTCTTTACCTAACTTGTTTTTTCTTAACAAATGTTTTCATGAGTGAACACTAGATATATGTCATCTACAGATTAAACCCGACCCTGAGGAAGAAACAAATTTGACAGAGGTAATTTTCTCTTCACATAGAATAATAGGTTTTAGGTCTGAGGTTTTGCATTCAGAGATGTTGTATCATCCTTTTATTACCTGGTCCAGATCCAATAATGCAATGTTTCTCAGATAGTGTACACAAAGGAGGTTTAAGCATTAACATAATTTATTCCAGTCATGGTTAGCAAAACTATTGATACAAGCACAAATTGCAGAGGAAGATCTGACCTTCTTTTAGGCCCTTACATCTCGACCATTTAGCTGTGTGACAGCAGAATGGTAGG